CACACTCACAGCAAAGAGCTGCAGCCCCTGTGGCGGCACCCACGCTACCACTACGCTGGCTGCTGCGTAGCTGTGGTGTAGAGTAGCTGTGGCGTAAAGTAGCTACATCGATGTTGGGGGATCAAGGTGACCGCACACGGGCGGGGGGCGTTCCCCGCGCGGCTGAGCCAGCGAGGGGCGGAGCCTGCACGCTGCCTCGCGGGTGATTTACACCGGCTGATGCCCTCCCGCCGCCCGCAGTCCCTGGCCTGTCCGTGTCCTCGGCCGGTGAACCCAAGCGAGCTCGGCAGGACCGCAACAGAGGTGCGTCCGGGGTCTGTTTGGTGCCGAGAGGAACGCGGCAGCGTTCTGGGGGCAGAGAGGGGTGGAAGCAGGTTATTGCACGGAGCTGTAAGAGGAACCCTCTCAGCTATCGTTGCAGAGTAGGTAGGAGGCTCTGGGTAGGTGGCCAAAGCACATGGTAAGATAGGAGGAGCCTGTGTAACCACCCTCACCAAGGGCACATCAGCCAAACCCATGTGCAAGACCAGCGCCAAGATGAAACAGTGGCGAGTTATAGTCATTGTAGTCACTGGTGACTCTTCTGAGCAGAACGAAGGCACCCGTTTGAAGGCCAGACCCTCTGTTCAGGGAAGTTTCTGCCTCTCTGGAGCCCTAACTGGGCATATCATCGGGTGACTGATGAACATAGCACAACCTTCAGACTCACCTCTAATCTTTCATGTGGATGCTAATGATGTTGCAACCAGAATGCAAGGTTAATCAAAAGAAATTTCATGGTCCTGAGAAGTCTGCTACAAGGTTTAGGAGCACAGATAGTGTTTTTGTCAATCCTCCCAGTAACAGGGAAAGACTTTAGGAGAAACCAGCGTGCCTAAGATGTTAATACCTGGCACCAGCGCTGGTGCCTCTGCCAGAACTTTGATTTTTATGATCACACTAGAGTGTTTGAAACATAAGGTGTGCTAGGGCCTGATGGGGTCCACCTGTCCCAGTGAGGAAAATGTGTTTGCTCATAAACTGGCAACACTAATTGAGAAGGCTTTAAACTGGTGCATCTATGGCTGCAGAGAATTCCATGTGAACTTAATACCCAAGTACCACCTGCACTTTTAGTGATTCTTCATCCTAGCCTGGGGTCTGTTTCCAGCAACATACACATAGTGCAGTTTCAAGACTTGCTGCACCCACAGTCATGTTGCCACTGCAGTGTGGATGTGCCCCATCACCCTCTCTATTCCTGAAAGATTCTTGTGACTCATCAGTGTGTCCCACTGGAGCTGGTTAGGTGGGAAGATATAAGGGAAATGGCTTATAGGAGAGAAACAAATTTCAGGTTTAGATAAACTGATTTGAATTTGTCACAGTTATAAGGGTTTTGAAATGTTTTTCACAATTGCTTAACTCAGTAGCAACAGCGCTTTCAAACTTGCAAGTTGATGCCGGGCATGTATGTTCACTTTAGCATTTCTACACTGAATTTAATTTGCGTTTTAAATTGATTTGCAGGGATCATTTTAGATATGAACTGAAACCAGTAACTAATAATTTGTGGTAAGTGGTAAAATGAATCTAAGTACTGGATCTTCACAGAGTGCAGGAAAGCCTCAGCTGACCATAGTGCATTGAACAGAGCATGTAATTTTCTGCTGTAGAATATGGGACTTCTGGGATTTGAAAAAGATGCATGGTCAGGAAATTTAAGGTGATTTTCCTCCAAGAAACTACAAAACAAATAAGTAAGGGAGTAGAAAAGGATATCTTCTTTTTCTCCTCTGTGCAGCCAGTGTATCACTCACCTGTGCTCACATAAGCCAGTGCAAAGGATAAACAACTGTATGTAAACAAATGGCAGTACTTAATATCACAACCCAAGTAAATGGTTGAGAAGTCAGTCAAAAGTCTTTTTAGTAACAAAACTGAACCGAACATCTATGATAGTCCTTCAGAGTTTAGCCTCAGGCTGAACATGCATGCTGTTGTTACGAGGTTTGAGATCTCAGCTTGTTAGACCTCAATTAAGAGAAATATTCAGAGGGATCATTACTACAACCAGTAGAGGATTTCAGCTGAATGAGATTTGAGGCACATATATCTACTATTACAGTTTTGAGAACAGCAATTGACAGCACTAGTGAGCAAGTTAATAGAGGTGATACTCACCAAGCTGGGCTGTGGTAGAATAAGTCAAGGGCATTTGCACATCTGTGAAACTTGCTAAAGCACTGGGACTCTATAGTAGGCTAGCTCAGTGGGGAACTTCTTTCCCTTCTCCTGAGAGAAAAACTGATCTCAAATGCTGTGATTATTCATCTTTACCTGATTGCAACATGCGTAGTGAGACAAGAAATTCTAAGTCAATGAATAGAATTTTTGACAGGTTTGAAAACATGTTAGATTTTGTTCTGGAAGATACAAAACGGGCTATAAAGTCAAACATAAGCACACATCTAGTATGTGTTGCACCACCTATGAATAGAAAACTGAGAGTAGTTACTGCGATTTTGGGGCAAAATAGTGGTTGCTCCTCACCTGCTTTAGGAAATGGATGACACAAAGTGAAACTCCTGAAGTTTAGGAGTAACAGGTTCAGTGCCACAGTTTGCTTCCTTCTGGCCTGTTAAACTGTTTCAAAGAAGTTTGGCTTTTGGAGGAAAACATGAAGTAGATAGAAGGTTGAAATGTGGCAATGAGGAGACTTAATGCAAAATCCAGAGAGCATGGTTTCTAAAGAGAAAGGAGTATGGGCTTGGTGGTGTAGGAACAGAGGAATTGTTTGCTCACATTTTAAAAATAAATAAATGCAAGTCTATGAAAAGTTGTTCTGGCAAACCAGGAAGGTAGGTCAAACCAGATTTGGGTTCATTATAGTGATCTAAGAGGTGCGAAGACACTGAGAAATGCTAGTGGTGATGTCTTAGAAATCAAACCCATTTAAATTAACTCCATTAAAGATCCTGTGGCAAAGCTGTCTTTTAGAGTGCTTTTGAAGACCTACCTGTCTCTTCTCATAGGACTAGGAGTTCACCAGTTTTAGTGGTCTTATGATGCACTAGGCTGTTAATACCATGTGAAACCTAAGGTGAAATAACACATTTTGTTATTTCAATAAAAATGACTCGAGGTTGGAGACGGTGAAATGCAAACTGGAATCACAGGTCAAAGTGCATGCATGTTCACAGCTGTGCGTTCAGTCCTTTCTTGCTGTCAAAGTTCTAGGGTCTTGCTATTTTTGCTCTTCTTGAATAGTTTGCCTTTTAAAACCCTTTGCTGGTAAGGAGTCTGGGAGGTGACATGCCTCCCAGCTGTGCTGAACAGCTAATACACTTTTCGGTCAGTTGCTTTGCAAAGCTGGAAATAATAGATTGAGATATTTCTTGCTTTAAATAAAGCATGACCGGATTGTATCAGGTTTAGTGGCATCAAGACACTGTAAAATGAGGTTACCAGGCTGTGATTCACAGGAATATGGTGAGCATGTTTTTGCCAGGTCACCCCTTCTCAGAACTTCTGAAGATGAAGAACTTTTGCTTATTGGTTTTATAGGGTGATAGCTTGTCTGTCTGACTTGCCTGCTTAATTAATGTGTCTACTGGCCTTTGGTTGTAAATGCATAATTCATTCATCTTGCTTATCTCCAAGGGATAAGTGTTCAGAAATGTACAGTATCAAAGATGAAATATTTACAGTACATCTCCTGGTAATCAAAGTATAGCACTGGTTTGTACAAGAGATCAGGGCCAGAAAGCCCTTGATACTTCAATGATTCCTGAAGCCAAGTCAAGGCACAATATCAACAGCTATGAGCTATAGACAAGGGTTTTACTCAGTTCTTTTGTCTGATCATTCTAGTAGTTCTTAACATTCTTAGTCATTGGTATTCCTTTTGTGTT